TTGTAGATTATGGTATATTGCCTCATATACCATAATGGCTAAGCCAATAAAAAGTCTTGAATTGCATTATCCAATAATCCAGTTTTTAATAAATTTCACTTATACTGCACTTGTCTAAGTTTAGGTTTACCACTAGACTTCCGATTATTCCAAAGGATTTCGATGGACTCCATCGGACTCCATCAACAAATTGATTGCGATGGAGTCCATTGGAAAACATTTCTACCCATCCTGATTTTCATTTGACTTCCAGTACTCTTCCTACTTCCGTTGGAGGGTGTTCATTAGAATTTTGGCTATTCCGTCGGAAAACCACCTTTCCCATCGAGGTCTAGTTGTATGGATTGAGCATATATGTTTTCATTCTACATACAAGAAGAAAGTACTATTTAATTTGAAATAAAACATTATGATCGGAAGGTATTGACAGAAACATAGTTTACTAAAGTCAGATTTGACTGAAAAGTATTTTTTTGTGTGTGTGTTGAAAAATGTAAATCACAGTTTGACTGCCTGATTTTTAAAATGCTCTTCATTAGGGAATTTAAACTAAAGTTAAACACTGAGAAGGACTCCTTCCAGGTTAAACATTTCACCTGAATATACATACAAATACTTCATCACCCCATGGTTATATCTTTTCTTCTTCTTGAGATGAGTATTTTATCATTGTTCTACTTTGCTATTGTATTCATACCCTAAAGGGATTCTCTTTACGTTTAAATGCGCCCTTTCTTATTATATGTTGACTTGATAATAACGCCAGCAGACGGTAAAACATCGTCGTTTTTATTTTGACACATTGAACATTTTAAACCAGTATGGTTTCAAGATTTTTCCTTTTATTTTTCATACTAGACAATAAAACCCAGCGGTCAATCGTCTTGCGTGCGCAAATGGATCAATCTTGGTCACCTGCAGGCCCTTTTACGGCACAAAATTTTAAAACGATACATGGCCCGATTTAACCCTTAGTCACGCAATATTTACAGAATATAAAAACTAAATAAGGGAAGAGAGTAAACTAAGAATTTTTAGAAGCAATGGTCTGTTAATAAACCATTTTGTTTTAACATTTAGCAAAAAAGTCACTCGTCTTTAACACTTAATGATTTTAATAATAATAATAATAATAATATAAATAATAATAATGATAATAATTATAATAATACTTTATTTATATTGCGCCATTTCCAGCGATGTCCAATAGTGCTTTACAAAAATGTTTAAAATGTTACAGCTATTACAAGTATTGTTCATAAGAATGTTTAAAAATTCAGTTACATTCCACAAAAAGGGCAAAAAAATTTAAAAAACACTAATTTAATAAAAAATTAAAATATAAAGCTAAAGTATAAAAAGGGCTAATAGATATAAAAACGACTAAAATATAAAATGGACTAGTAGTGTAATAAAAACGCTTTCCTAATAAGATAAGTCTTCGGTTTTTTTTTAATCGTTCAGACTGTCACAAGATCTTATTCCTAGTGCCATGTCATTCCACAACTCGGTTGTGATGCTACAGCTTGTGTGGTGGTTTTCAACTGCTGTGGGCAACTTGGTTCAGGGAAAAAAAGAAAAATTGCGCTTCCAGATTTTGGCCACGACTCAGCCCTTTCCACTGAGCCACCGCGTTGAAAAGGGGTCCTTTAAAAGGCGGGAGTGATGCAGCCGCTTAATAGATGGAGCGCCGAAATTCAAGGCTACAGGTTCCAATTAAACAAAGACTAACATTCTTTTGAAAAATTACTCTGTTTCTTTCTCTTTTATTACAGCGGGAGTTCTTATTTCCTTCCAACTCAGTCAGAACTGCTAAATTAATACATGAAATGGACTGACTAACTCACTGTCAGATATAAAGCATGTATTACAAAGAAAAAAGGATTTTTTACAAATATTGTAAGGGCATGCGAAGGTTAATTGCATAATTTTAAAAGTCGTTAGTTTGTCTTAATTTGTCCACGAAATTCGCCCGCCTTTTACTTCTGCTACTTAAGTTGACATTGCAAACTGTTTATATTTAGCATTTACGGCTGCCTGTCTGTTTTTTCTATATAAATGATGACTTCTGTTGGAAAATTAACCTAAATAATAATTTTGTTCTTAAATTCAAGGTATCTGGCCACAAAATAACGACGCAATATATCGAGATCAGCAATTTGACAAAGGTCACCTCTTCCCTAAGGCCAAATGCTCCAGCATTAGAAACAGTGTTCGTTTCACTTATTTCTACACTAGTTCTGTGCCACAACAGCCTTCCTTTAACCGCGGCGAATGGGCTCATTTAGAGATGATGACTGTGACGCTCCGCAATATACAAACAATGGCGGACGTTTGTACCTGGTGACAGGCAATTTCTTGACTCGCATTCAAAACACCGCTCGAAGGGTAAATGCGCCACCTGTGGCCCAGTTGGGTTTGGCAGGGCAGCACAAAATGTATCCCACGATATCAATTCCAAATTAAACGTGGGCCGCTGATTGCTGTGTGCTTCCAAATGGTCAGGTGCTTAGCTTTGCAATGATTCGGAACAACTGACCTACTAAACGCTACGCGGATGCTGTCTCAGCAAACACCCGTAACAATACTGGAAGATATTTTATTGCAAGTTGTACTTTATCACGTCATTGGGGGACCAAGTGTTACACTCTTTCCAGGGAATGGAGCCTACTCCAATATGTAGAATGACATAGAGAACCTCTCAGCGGCACAAGGCTAAGGACGTTAAAATTCGATAACGACGCTGATCAGAAAAAGCAACGGCAGTTGAAATGCGAATATAGAGCGACGACTCATCTGTCCAGAAAGAAAACTGAAAAGAAAATGAATTAATAAATTCGCATAGACAAAAGTGAATCTTATTACTTAAGGTTGATTTCCCGTTAGAAACAAATAGCCATGCGGCAAGAACGGTGATGGAAATGAACATCCGGGTTCTTCTCCTTCACAACCAAGAAAACATATTTGAAAAGATTGAAGTTCACTCGCATGGCTTCTGTTCAGTTACCTAGAACATATCCGATGATTTTACATATTTTATGCGCGGGGAGAAATACAAGCAATCAGCAAGGAATTTACTATTCCACCGTCATTTCAATTTTTGTTATTTTGATATTAGTTTACGAATTACATCCTACTATCTTATTGCACCGTGTCCATCGCATAAGGGGTAATAGATGAAAATAACATGAAAAAAGCTATGAAAGTGTTTTTTTGCGACCAACAAAAACATTGTCGCGCCTAAAAGTTCGTATCCTTCCGAGCGAAGTCAAGAAAAAAACAATCGAAAAATCGAAAAAATGTGGATCATTCAGTGCAGCCATTTTATGGAATTGAAAACTCATCTGGCTAGGTTGGGGGATTTCAACTAGAGGTGTTAAGTCTTTCCAGTGAAATACTGATAAGATACCTTTTAATATGGAGGTTTTTAAAGTACGTTCTAGAGCGAATTGATCAAAAGAAAAGGTCTATAAGGGCTAGGTTTTTAAACTTGATCAATGTGTGGATCAGCGGTGTTCTGCGCCTTTTACAACAACAAACCCGGC